TAAAATTTTATTACTGAAATGAAATTTCTTTTTTGTCTCTTGATTTTTCAGCCCACAGCTGTTGTCCTGTACACGAGTCAGGAAAAAATTGAAACATAAAAATAGAATCAAAATCCAAAAATTATTTTAGTTTTCTTGCATACTCAGCGCACGAAATTAATTATATGACGTATCAATATCATAGAGATTATGTTTCAAATTTCTTGCAAAATTCACCTATTTCTCATTTATAGGCACACCATTCAAATATGTAAAACTTTGTGCCCCTACTCTTTCACACAACATTTTATTTCTTTTTTTTTTCAATGATAAACATTAACGTAGTTATCGATATGTGGATATTACAGTTGCAGTACATCACTAGCACACAATTTAAATGAGATACATTTGTTAATTTTATTTGTTCTTAGCCTGCTCTACTTACATATGGCTGCAAAGTATTATATTTAAGTGCTTACATGTGCTTCATCTAAGGGAAATCTCGCCATAAACATCCTTTTTTCAAGAATCGAATGACTTGCTCGATTTTCACCAATTTCACAGGTAATAAACCGTCTTTTAGGCATTTTGAATTAAAAGTACAACTCGGATCACCTGTCACTAGTTTTCGTGAGAAATTTTACTGTAAACAATTTAAATTTACAATTAAATAAGCATTTACATTCAAAATACGCGGTGCGAAATTAAGTTTTGACAAACAACATGGCACTTCTTGTATTGCAAGAAAGAGAAACCGCATTGAGGGAGTGTGATAGCAATGTTCGCCATTATTTGCCACGTAAAGTCGATAGAAAAATTTTTTGTTCCTAGTTTCGCCAGACTGGTTCGGATTACCAAAAACTATCGTGACCGACAATGCGACAACGTTCACCTCATTTGAGTTTCAACGCTTCTGTGTCAGTAATGGCATAACACATATTACGTCGCCGCCATATCATCCATCTAGTAACGGCCAGGCAGAAAGTTATGTAAAAATAGTAAAAAAGGGGTTAAAATCATGTATACTCTCAGGCCATACCAGTAAAGAATGTAGATTAAAATTACTTAAATATTTATTTGATTTTAGAAACTCTATTCATAGCACAACTTTACGGTCACCAGCTCAATTAGTGGACGGTCGCAACCTGAGGTCACGTCTGGATTTAATGAATAATGTTGTACCGCCGTCATGCACATCCATAAACAATACCGTGGAAAATAAACAGTACTTGCAGATTAAGGCGCACGGGGGGAAAGAGGCGGAACCTTTCGAAATAGGAGCCAAAGTTATGTATAAGCAATATAAAAAAAATAAATATCGCTGGTGCCAAGGTAGCGTAATAAAAAGACTGGGCAAAGTCACTTATCTGATCAAGGATTTATCTACTTCAGCATGTACAAAGAAACATAAAAATCAGTTGTTTCATGGTCAGGAAAAGTGTGAGAATAATTATCAATATTGGGACTGCGACATCGATTTGAATACATTAAATAGTAGAAACGGACCAAACAGTCCAGAGTGTTCCCCTTCACCCCAAGTCCAACAAACTACAGGGGAGGAAGAATCACCGCAAAGTGATACATCATGCCATGATGTGAACAGTGAGGAAAATGACTGCCCATCTGAGTCATCTCCACTGGATGCACAGGAAACTACTGAACCACTACCAACATTCATCGCACGCGACAATCCTATGTCTCGGATACAGATGCGGACCTTGCCCAGGGTCGAGTATCGTCGGTTCTTTTACCTTAAACATGTTTAGACTATAGATTTGTATGCAGTTTTAGTATTAGTTAACTGGGGGAGGAAATGTTATATCTGTGCACGGCTGCGCCCGTGCGTATTATCTATAACGCAATAAATCAGTGTGTTAACAGCAAGCAGTCGTATCATTCGTGTCCCTACAGCGTGTTATTTTTAGCTTGTGCTGCAATTTGGCATACTGGGACATGCTGGGACGGTTGCGCGACGAGCCACTTGAAGCAGTTTCAAGTCATTAATTAACATTATTGCCTTACTCTTCTCGGGGTTTAACTCAATCCATCACTCTCAGATCCATTCGATTTATCTATACATATAACAAAAATGTAACTGATCGTTGTCATTACATGGAAGTTATTTGAAAAAAACTATTACTGGGGGCCTTCAACGAAGTAGAACCCTGAACAATGATTGTTAAAATTTTGTGTGTTTGTCTGTGCGTTTGTGTGCGCTAATCTCAGAAATGGCTTAATCGATTTGGGTGTATACTTTCACTAATGTACTGTAGTAAGCTTCACTTAACATTTAGAATTACTGTAGTGTATGTTAAGGTTCGTATACAAACTACCCTACTACATTACACGTATAAATACCACTGTCTCGAACGCAACACTTTAGTATCACGAGCCACGGGCGAGAGTGAACGTGTAGTGAAGTTCATAGCTAAACTAGTGCGTGTTTGAGCCTGTGATTATCTTCGATCAGTAATACAACGTCATAAGTCTACAATGACGATTGTTAGTTTATATACTTAGTTGAAAAAAAAATCTGCCAAGTACGAGTCGGACTCACGCATTAGGTAGGTATACAAATAAATAGGTATATAATTAATTAAATTACCTTATCTACATTGTTATCATTTCAATATATATTTATAGCGAGAAGTCGAAGTCGTGAAGTGTAGAAGTCGTTAAAGAATGTCTCAAATAGTCTCGTCTGACACTAGCAAGTTTTCATTACCTATAATTATTGGCAGGGCCTGTAAAATCCATCTTAATGAAAAGTACTTTTATTCATATTTATTAAAATACCTATATGTTTACAGTCAATAAATAAAAAACGTTTACCACAACACACATTTTATTTCCGCTTCTCGTTCTATATTTAATAATATTTTTATTATTACACAACATGTATATAGAAAGATTTTTATACAATAGTGTATAATTAATACCTAATTAACTATATTATTCAACAATACAGTAAAAGAATTACGAATCACTTAAAATTTAGCAGTCTATTTTAATGATATGTATCTTTTGCAGTTTGGAACAGCTGTGTCTTACAATTACTTTACCCTAAAATCATCCCAATAAACCATAGAGTATTTACAGTTTTACGTGCATCCGTCTTATAAACGAAGCGACACGAAGCTTTTTACTCTTCAACCTAACAACATACAGCATCTTCACCAAAATACAAACGTTTTACATATCATTTTAGTTTTACCATTTAACATTGTGCTGTTGAAAAAAAGTCCGAAGGCGTCAACCGAGTGTGATAAGTAGTTAGCACTGCACATTCACTGCCAACGGCCGGTTACAACATTCTATCTACATATAGATTTCGTTACTAGTGATAGATATTTGACATTAGTTCCATAATACTTACGTCAAAATTCTATCTCCAGTAATCTAATATCTATAGATAGAATATTATAACCAGCAGTTAGTAAATTGAAAAAAAAATAAAAAAAAATGTCATGCCTTTAACATTAGGCCTGAATATATTTAAACGATATCGTAATTATAACCTATGCAATAAGCTCACAAGCTCTCAAGCATTAAACAATCCAATGAAATGTACATTGACAGCTATTGAAGAAGTTGTACCTTACTAGCAGATGCACATAAAACTTTGAAATATATCAATATTTGCTGAAGGAATACTTGACATATTTATCATGTATGAAATTATTTGAAGTAACTACAAGAGGAAGAAAGCGGACTTGAATATAACAAAAGCGGAACAAACAAGCTTTATTTCAGATAAATTTTTTGGCAACATTGATTTACTTCACATTAAATTTATTATTTTATGAGATATTAGTATAAATTTTTGATAGAGCTTGTAGACAATTTGTCTTTCTTTTTTTATATTACTTTGTTTTAATTAAGCATTTTTTATAAAGCCCTTCAAACTCACGTTTTAAAACGTTGAAATATTTAACACCAGGAGAAAAGAAGACATACGAAAAACTGTATTCGGGCAGAAATAGGCCAATGTTTCAATTCCGCTTTAATCACATAACTAACGCTTTATGCCAAATCTTTACTTTAACACAAGTTCTAAGCAAATCTTTCTGTTAATGGTATTTTAAAAACAGATTGCAACATAAATTATTGTAGGTGCATATGATTACCGCATGTAATGAGTCATCAATTACGTTACGATTCCTTCAGCAAATCTTGAGCGCATGGTATAGAAAAAAAAGTACTAAAATTCTGTGGCAGTTTGTAAACATTAAGTAAGGTTGTCTACTATATACACAATCACTTAGAATACGTTAGAATCTAAAATGTCCGAATATAACAGCATTTAAATAAATCACATCATTATAATAATTTTATATAACAATATTATCTGCTTAAGGTTACCAATGGGAGATTAAGTTTGTGTCATCACAAAAGTCATTAACTGCAATTCCACAAACGTCGTCAAGTTGCATTTTAGATAGTCTAACGTAAAACGGATTTTTTTTAATGGAAAATGTTGGCTAAATTGAGCAGATTTCATGAAGACGTGAGGAGTTTGGTTCTTTGATGGAATCCACGGTCCCAATGCATAATATTCGTAATCATTAGAAATGTAGGTACAGAGTTAAGTTAAACGAAACTGAGATTATCAATAGTTAGTCAACTTCTGAATATTCGCATAAGAAATTGTTACAATAAACATATCACCAAAGATGTGAAATATGGATAAACCCAATAATCCCATCATAATTATCGAAGACATCACTTCTAAATGTTGTAATATTGTATAATTTCCTAATTTTGTGTAATATCTTATGAATTTATGGAACTGAACACAGGGTTCAGCGAGAAATCCGTCCACGTGTTATCGTGTCTCCAGCCGTTGCGACAGAGACAGGTACCCGTTTCTGACCCCCCCCCCCCCCCCCCCTGCTCCGTTGGTAGGGGATCCGAAAATAAAAAAAATAATTATAAACAGGGATTTATCCCACGTGACAAAAAAGGTTCGGTCAAGGCTTCGGTTTTGTTCAAGGGTTTTACGTTGGACCGTGGAACCGCTATACGTGGATCGTGCACTCGCGCCGCTCCTGCTCTTTCCTCTGCTGATATCTGGAGAAATCGAAAGCAGAACTATTAACTAGCAGAATTTTATAGTTGTAGAGCGGAACAAATTGGCAGGTGCGCAGAACTAGGCGCTAGTGTAAGGTCTGCGTGAAGTGGAAGTTTTCATATTTTGCATTTCATCTGCTTAGTGTGATGTCCGAGAGCCTCCTGATGGTTGTTAGCACATTCTAGGGGTGTGGTGAGTCTCTGTAGACGACTGTAATCACTTATCATCAGGCGTACTATCCAACTAGTGGCTATGTTTTCTATTAAAAATGGTGGGGCTTGAATTATATAAAATTATCATGGCACTTCTGAGAACATAATTCTCAAGGTGAATGCCTCTCCGTTCTATCAGTCTAACGGTATCGCTATTGACTACGCATGCGATGAACAGCTTCTTCATAAAGACATCATCCGGATATCCGTAAAAAAATCAATTGTCAGTCAAGGCAGAAGTGTCCGGGGACAAAACTCCCTGAGAGGCCGTCGCTCAAGACGCTAAGTCAGACTAAATATGCTGTTGCGGGTAGCCTCATCAGAAACAGACCGTCCGGATATCCGTCAAACTCACTTGTCAATCAAGGAAGAAATGTCCGGGGGCACGGGGGCGAAGCTCCCTGAGAGGCCGTCGCTCCCCACCTGCCCTCCGCTGCCGGACAGACAACACTAATGCAATTATTGCGCTACACGGTAAACCGGCAACTTGACGAAGCGTCGCGGGCTCGGTTCAAATAAGCCATGTGTTTGGGGTCGCTACGTGAGTGGGTAATCTAAAAAAAAGCAACAAAAGTACAGTTTAGTATACAGGAAATCGTCTAAGGTGAGTACAGAAATAGATAGAGTAGAGGGACAGAGTTGCATTAGGTGGTTGCTTCGAACTACACACTAGTGTGGTTCGAAGTGTGTATTACTGGCAGGTATAGTATGTTAACCGGGTTAGAAATAGATTGTTTTAAAAAATTTGATGAAATTATTAAAACATTAACAGTAAAAAGGGGGTTGTTTAATTCATATGAAAATTAATGCTAGAAAACTTGCAATACATATAAATATTTCTAAAACATGCATTTATTTTGTTTATTTGTAGTTATTGCTCTTCTTTTTTTGGGTTTCTAAATATACATGCGTACTAAAACACATAGAGGATAAGTTTGCTTTCTTCAAACTTCTGATATGTCACGTATAGGAATAAAGTACAGAAGCCACTGATGTGATAGTGTGTGTGCACACATGAGAGCGTGTGCGTGAGTGGATGCGCTCTTGCGTAGGTGCATGTGCGTGTTTGCATGTGCTTTGTGCGTGGGCGGGTGGGGACAAGGTACCTGGTCTACCTGCTGGCGGTGCGCCGTCCGCTGCCGTACGCACTGCCACCACCGCTGCCACCAGACCCTGATAATATAAATTGTCTCATTAGATCTTTCTTCCAACAGTTAGGTACATAAAAACGTATAGTGAAGAAGACCGGCATGAAGTAGGAGTATAATAATTCCACTTCACGCCGGTTTTCTGGAAGGTAGTGGTACTTCCCCGGATGGACCTGCCCATTCATGCAACAGCGGAAACTATTTCTTGGCCCTGACACAGATAAATTTATGCCATTGTTTTATATTTCGCTAAAAAATAATTCAGGCCAACTTTCAACGTTTGTCGGTTCAATCAAGTGCCGCCGACATTCCACTCGCGATTTTTTTTGTTATGTGAGAAAGTGGTAAACGCGCTGTCGATCCACCTGATGTTAAGTGATAATCGCCGCCCATTGACATGTGCAACACCCGTAGCCACCTTGTAATAAAATTGACCCCAGCCTCGCTCACCAGACGCAGAAGTGTAACAGGTGCAGAAGTGTCGTCTGCGACGTGGTGGTACAAGCCCGGACGGAGCTGCCCATTCGTGCAACAACGAACACTGTTGCGTGGCCCTACCGCCCTAGCGGCGAGGGTCGTTTGTTACGAGGAGCGGACCTTTGGTGGTAGTGTTGGCGGCGCTGTCGCTGTAGTCGTCTGAGTCGGAGCGCTCGCGCCACGTGGGCGGCGTAGCGCCGGCGCACGGCGCACGCAGCCGGTGCCTCGCCTCCACCGTCGAGCACTTGGACAGACTGGACTCGTCTGCAACCCACGAGAGTGGCCAACGTGCGACGGAAACGTTTTGAAGTAATACTTTTGGCGCGTTCGGAAAAATAATGAGAGTAAAATTTTCACTATGCGCGCGCACAGAGATCCTCAAAGATACACGATACTTGCTAAACAATTTAATCTTGGCAACCAATAACAATTTTTTGTAATTTACCAAAACTTCCAAGTTTTTTAAATAAGCCGTTATCAATTGCATTTAATGTCTTTACGCTAAAGAATTATAATTTCTTACGGGCGTACATAAACACACTTTTTTATTCTTGGTATTATTTAAGCTACTTGCTTACATAAAGTTCTTTGAGCGTAAAATAAAACGAGACTATAAAAAGAGGACAATAGGAACAGGAAAACGGAGAGCCCCAAAAAATAAACGTGTGATAAACCGAATGTATTAGGAAAACTGTACACTGTAGTATTAAGAAAAAGATTGGACGTAGTTCCAAATCTTGACAGGCACGAAAAACTTTTCTCAACAACAGAGACAATTCATATGTGTGTTATTAATATTGCTCATAAAAACTTATTGATTTTATAATATCGTTAGATTAATTTCATATGATGATCATTTGTGATGGTGTGAGAATCAGTGACTTTTTGAATTGTCTTATTTGGAATATACAAAAGTGTTAAGTAATTTAAGAAAATGGATGAAACATAAAAAGTAGTTCATCAAAATTTGAAAAAAAAAAAACTATCTTACTAACAAGCCTCACATTCGGGGTAAACAGGCCGGGTCTATGTGACAAACTCTGTTAATTAAATTTATGCCCCGATGATAAATTACACCCTCCGATTCTAAGTTGACACCAAACGCCAATCGCTGTGTCTAAGTGAAGTTGGTACGGATCGCAAGTACAGCGCGCATACGCGTGTACTGTGTACGTGTTTTTTTGTTATTTTTGTTACTTTCGTAATTTTTGTCTGGTGTACAATGGAGCATGTTTCATTCATTCATTTATTCATTCACTCTCACCGTATCGGTAGTGATCGCAGCGCCTGCGGCGGCGGTGGGGCGGCGCCGCGTCGTCGTCGCGCCGCGCCAGCGTCCGGAACTGCAGCGAGTGCGCCGCCGTAGCGCCGAACGTAGCGTACGGGCTGATCTCGTAGAGCTCCGCTACGAGAATTAAGTAGTTTGACGTAACACAAGTGTCATCATTAATATAAATGATTTTTCAGTGGATGTATGTAGAATATATCCAGTAATCGGATGAAAATTTCAGGAATTTTCGAAAATTTTCATTATGGAGTCCAGGATCCGATACGTTGAAATTAACATGAGACTACATGGGAAGCACCAGATTCTAAATAAAAAAGAAACATCGAAATCGATTAACTCAGTCGAAAGTTCCGAGGTAACAAACATTAAAAAAATACAGTCGAATTGATGTAATAACAAACAAGTGCAACGTCACCCAGTCTAAATGATTTATAATTTTCTGTAGATTATTAACACCAATATGCTCGAGCAACCTGAGTTCGATCCCCGCTGCCGGCACCAATGAAATTTTGAGTACCGAATTATCACGTGCTCAGCGATGAAGGAAACATCGTGAAACTTGCATGTCTTGATACCCTCTGTACAGAGGAAGCCTTTGCCCAATAGTGGGACATATATAGCCTGATACTTTACTTTTATTAACACCGAGTATATTTTTCTTCCAAAACTATTACCTGATGAGTCGTCATTGGTCTTCTCGTTTCCGTTGATAGACGAGGACGAGTATAGTTTCTGTCCCTCTCTCAGTTTTTCCCTCTCTGCCTCATTGCTCTCGCTCAATTTCCTGTCGTCGCGCATGTAGTGGTCATTTGAAAAGCAGAAAAACCTGTTAATAAAAATAATCTTTATAGAAAAAAAAATAGAATTTGAGAGGGAGCGCAACTCAGTAAATATGTGTTGAAGTCAAAACTTGAACAGTTGTTTTTTGATTAATTATTATTGTAGTAGTAATATGTAGTTATTTATAACAGAATGAGTAGTGCCTCCACGAATAGCAACTTACACGGTAAAATCTTTGGATTTCGATATCCAGGTGTTGAGTTTTGATTTTGTTTATTGACATGTACTGTTGAGTCAATACAATCCATTTATTATAAAGCACAATTTTCGTTCGATAGTCAGTCGACAATAAATGAGGTAGACGTTGTTTTAATTAAAAATAATTATTTCACCTTTGAAAGTAAAAGTGACTTTGTTAACAAAACACCAGGAGCATAGATAAGACATATATGCTGAAATAGATGAGATATTCGACAAATAAACTATTATTGTTTACCTGCCTTGTCTGCTAGATGGAGATATCGTCTTTGGGAGCTACCTAGCTATATAGCTACAACTTATAAACTAGATGAATTGTTTCAAAGGGATAATGTCTTCTGTAATGACCAGGAGTATAATCAATATTCATTACATAAAATGAAAGATATGTTGGCCTCCTCCTCATTAAAGAATAAACCTTACTTTCTTTTCCCGTGTAGAAGACATAACAGGGCTGCGAGGGCCGCTATTATGACGAGGGCGCTGGCTGCGCAGGAAACCAGCACTGTTCTCAGCGAGGCGGTGCGTGCACCACCAACAACCGGCGGGGTGTCTTGAGGGGGCGGGATCCTGCCTGCGAAGCATTGTCAAGTTTATTTCGTAGATACGCCTACTGTTTTATAAACAGCTCGTTTATCTTTAGCAGTATAAAAGATTATACACTTCGTTTCGTCGGGTGAGTGAGGTAGCCGGGCCCACTTTTTTAAAGGTGGCAAAGCATCTGCAATCCTAAGGTTGCAGGTGTCAATTGACAGCGGTTATTATTTTTTTTTATGCGAAAAGTTGTCAAACGAGCAGACGGTTCACCTGATGTTAAGTGAATACCGCCGCCCATTGACATCTGCCACACCCGAGGGTTACAGAGGCGTTGACAACCTTTTGAAAATTGGGCTCTGGCTACCTCACTCACCAGACGAAATACGAAAGTATTTGTCATACTTTCACTTTACGCCGGTCTTCTGTGAGGTCGTGGTACTTACCCGGACGGGCCTGCCCATTCGTGCAACAGCCGAGGCTGCTGCGTGGCCCTACCACCGTAAAAGGTTGTCACTTAACATCAGGTGCACCATCAGCTAGCTAGGTCACTAGGTGAACAAACACTAGTAACGCCATAACATTGCTCAAAAGAAAAAGAAAGGAGAAAATATAAAATACGTTGAGGTTTTCCTGGCGTGAACATAAGCCGCTTAACTCAGTGGCTAGAGCGTAGGGTGTGTAACCCGGAGAACGAAGGTAAATCAAATCCTTCAAATCCTTCGCTGGCAAATTAATATCCTTTCAAAACATTCTTAAACAATTTTATACAAATCAGATCCCTTTGGTATTCATTGCATCGACATAGCTAGGTGTTATTATAGATCCTCGAAAAATGATAAATCAAAATAGGCTTTCAATTTTAAAAGAGTAAGTTAAGTTTTTTTCAAAGAGTAAGTTAAGAGACTTACCTCCGGAAAGAGTGTGGGTGTCTGCTAGTAGGACGACGCGCTCCACTCCAGCGTCACTGCGAGCTTCGATCAGCAGCTCGTACCACGTGCCAGGTGATAACGCGCCTATTATATGGTTCGCGGCGCTGAGGGCATCTCCTACCTGAAAGAATATACAAAAGGACGTAAAACATGTGGTTGCAGCAGAATAAGTACATATCAAAGATATATACTTAATAGAACTTATGTAACAAAAAGAGAAAGAGAAAAATAATAAAGTGGACCAGTAAATATTCACACAGGCTGTTAATAAATGTGGAAGTAGAGAAAACATTTTTTATTATATAAAAATTACATATTTTTGGATTTTTATTCATAAATTTCTCTTTTCATATGTTTGATTTATTTATATATTATTCACACAACTGAAGACAAAACGTATGTAAGAAATATTGTTCAACAAACATTATTTTTTCGTTTTTTTCAAAAGGTATGATGCAAAGGTGGTAAGCGAGTAGGCGAAGTTAGGTGATAACCGTCCATTAATATTTGTAACTCTTATATGGTTGCAGATGCGTTGCCACCTTGTAATAAAGTGGGCCCCGGTTACAACCAATTGTTATAATTCTGCTCTACGAAGTGCAGAATTGATACACTTCCACTTTACGCGGGTTTTCTATGAGTTTGTGGTAATCCCCCGGACGGACATGCCCATCCGTGCAAAAGTGAAGACTGTTGCAAGGTACCCTAGTACACAGTTACTAAATCACTTAGATAAAAGTGTAAAAAATTTTTTATGAGAAACGTTGCCAAGCGAGCAGACGGTTCACCTAATGTTAAGTGAATACCAAGGACATCTGCTACACCCGAAGATTTGTAGATGCGTTGACAATCTTTTTGAAAATTGGGCTCCGGCCACCTCACTCACCAGACGAAACGCGAAAGTATTATACTTCCACTTCACGCCGGTCTTCTGTGAGGTCGTGGTACTTACCCGGACGAGCCTGCCCATTCGTGCAACAGCCGAGGCTGCTGCGTGGCCCTACCACCGTAAAAGATAACCTTAATCCAATGTTCCTCTCCGGCGCGTCGGTAAGCCACGCGGAAACCAAGTATGGGGCACCCGCCGTCGCGCCACGCGTAGAAGTTGATCTTGATCGCCGTGGAGTTCATGTACACGTGATCCTCAGGCTTCGGTGGCTTCGGCCCTGATGAGAGGAGACGCAAATATGGACGTATTGTAAGATGTTGTTTAAAATAACATTACTCATAAATTTTAAAGTTTTTTATAGTGCTAATCTCTGCACTTAAGATTGAACATTAAAACATGTAGAAAAAGTACGAAAAGATTGTCGCCGCTGTGGGAATCGAACCCACGTCTTCGGCATTCGCGGCCTGACGCTCTAGCCACTGAGCTAAACGGCTGATAACCACAGCGCGACGAAATCTTAACTCCTTCTTTCTACATTGTTATTTAGCATTTGAAGCAATGCTTGGCGCATCTATTGTTATATCCTTTACAGCATACAAACAATTTCGAATATCGTTTTACAACGATAATTCGAACGAGAGATGTCGCCATTGCTTTTTATAAATTTTAAAGTTTTTTATAGTGCTAATCTCTGCACTTAAGATTGAACATTAAAACATGTAGAAAAAGTACGAAAAGATTGTCGCCGCTGTGGGAATCGAACCCACGTCTTCGGCATTCGCGGCCGACGCTCTAGCCACTGAGCTAAACGGCTGATAACCACAGCGACGAAAATCTTAACTCCTTCTTTCTACATTGTTATTTAGCATTTGAAGCAATGCTTGGCGCATCTATTGTTATATCCTTTACAGCATACAAACAATTTCGAATATCGTTTTACAACGATAATTCGAACGAGAATGCCGAAGACGTGGGTTCGATTCCCACAGCGGCGACAATCTTTTCGTACTTTTTCTACATGTTTTAACATTACTCATGTTTGGAAATTTAAATTGTTTATAGTGCTAATCTTTGCACTTAAGATTGAACATTAAAATATGTAGAAAAAGTGCGAAATGATTGTCGCCGCTGTGGGAATCGAACCTTAGCAGTTTAGCTCAGTGGCTAGAGCGTCAGGCCACGAATGCCGAAGACGTGGGTTCGATTCCCACAGCGGCGACAATCGTTTCGCACTTTTTCTACATATTTTAGTTACTCATGTTTATTCATCTTTTGGTCGCACTTCGTACTTCTCTTTACTTTCATGATTAATTCATTAACATAACAAAATCAGCTTCGTAATTTTATAATCACTATTATTTATTCGAAACTGGCCAGCGCTTGTCCGCCATCCCACTTTATGGTAAGTGGCGATGCAGCCGTTGATGGTAGGCGCGCTAGCTGAGTAAAAATCTATTCACTCTTGCCTTGAAGACGCCTATTTTATTATTCAATTTACACTTGTTTTAAGTCCAAACGTAAAAATTTACTACTGGTTCCCTTATTTTGAGCAGTGCAGAAATATACATTCTGAAACAAATATTGAATACTCTGAGAATGGTAAGAGTTTCTTATATTCACAATGCAAACTTTATAAAATATGCATGATGCTTATCATTATTTTAGTCTGTTTCAGTCCACTGCTAAACATGGGCCTCCCCCACAGTCTGCCACGAAGCACAATCCTAAACCACCTGCATCCATCGACTTCCCGCACATATTGTTTGAAGACCAAAGTTTTAATAAAAGTGTGGTAATGACCTACGGAACCGAGACGTGGTCCTTCACTGCTAGCCGTATGAAGAAGTTGATCCCCTTAATCTCCCTAAACCATTATTATTATTAGCTTTAGAAAAATGCTACTTACGTCCGCCTCTAGTCGTTGCCGTGAGCACCTCACTGGGGGGTCCCAGGGAAATCTTGTTCTGCGCCTGAATCTTGGCGTTATATGTAGTGCCACATTTCAACATGTCCATGGTGTAGGAATTCAGCTCAGGCGATAGCTCAACGCTGTGCCACTCAGTTTCTGAAGCCTGCTTGTAGTGCAGGAGATAGCCTGACATTAAACATGTTTACATTACAAGAACTGCCTAACTAGAGTTTACTTGACGATACTTTATTTAGATTTTCTAATATTCAATTCTGTGTAACAACAATGCATTCTACAATGTTTTTATTCAGTACGGAGTATCTGTTCCTTTAATGATTAGTCAAAGTGAAAGTCAATGTCAAATTTTTTTCTTCAATATTGGCTTGTCTTAAGTCAATACACTACCACCGGCTCACTAAATTAGACCTGTCCAGAGGAGAACTAGCAAGAAAATCTGCGGCTATTTTTTTATTATTGGGAGCAGGGAGATTCGAACTGTTCGCTTACCCAGCACCGGCTCAGCGTTGTCAGTGGGCAGGCGCCAGTGGAGCTTGATGCTGCTGGCCGTGGTGTACTGCAGCGAGAGTGCGGGAGCGGCGGGCGGGGTGATAGCTATTACCACGTACACTATCGAATCCTCGCCAATGCTGTTGCTGGCCGTGCAAGTAAAGTTGCCCGAAGACTGCTCGTTTACTTCTGGAATTTTGACGTTAAACTAAAGTTTGGTACCAACAGTGGTAATTAAAGAAATTGTTAAAGGAATCTTGAGCATTAGACGCTTCACGTTCGGTCACGTTGAATTGGCAGATCCCTCCGTTATTGCTTAAGCAAACTAAGCTAGCGTTAAGCTATTTATATGTACATAATATATTGTATGTTTGCCGTGCCGTTTTGCGTACAACATATCTATTGTATAAAATATCAAATTCAAATTTATTATCTCGAACACAACTCATTGATTGTCAAAATATTAAGGCCGGTTCGGAAAAGAAAAGCCACAGACCTGAGAAGAACCGGCGAAAGAAACTAAAAATCGTTGGAGATTCAGATTATATATACAATACAGGTTATATAATATATAAAAGAATCGCTCGTTTGAATGTATTAGATTAACAATGAAAAGGCGATCGTGTCCCACCGCGTATGTGCAGGTGCCCGGCGCGCGTGACCTGGTAGTAGGCGTGGTGCGTGACGGGCGTGCGCGCGTGCGCCCAGCGCGAGCGCGGCGCGGGCACGCCGACGCACGAGCACGCCAGCAGCGCGCCCCGCCCCGCGCGCACCGCCCGCGCCCCGCCGAACGATGCGATGCGCGCAGGGACTGCGAACACGTCGCTCTTCGTACGCCGTGCTTACCAATCCTTACTAATGTTATAAACGCGAAAGTTTCTATGTATGCATCGATGTTTGTTATTCTTTCACGCATATACTGCTGAATGGATTTTAATGAAACTTTACAATAATATAGCTTATGCATCAGAATAACAGATAGGCTATAATTTATGTACATATTTTTATATATCTGTTTGTTTGAATGCCTTTTACGCCTTAAGCCTATTTTACGTAGATGTAGTCGCGGGCGGCTAGTAGCTAATAGGAGTGAACTAGGTACCTAGTATACTCGGTTAGATCGAATACCTGTTACGCCTGTTCAAACGCCTGTTACAAAATAACAGCCCGTTACTTAATACAATGTTGTGAAAATTTGTGTAACTGATAGTAACAACTAACAATTTGTGTAACTGATAGCTATTACAGTATTTCAGTCTATGGTAACGTTCGTACTTCTTTTTCCAACAAATCTATAAGACCGATGCAAGAAAAAGAAAGAGCTTGTAATAGTGACAGTGTTCCGTAACAACTGCGACAAGGTATCACAGTTTTTATCTCTTTCTAACTAAGGTAACACTCGTGAGCATGAATAAAGAAAAGTTTGTGACAGAGTGTTAAGGACAGCGGGTCAACTTGTGTGGAATAGGAACTGTTATTTAAGTAACAGGTACAGTATGTTATCTCGAATTAGCTGTTATATTTATCTGTTACGATAAATACGTCTCACTCCTAATAGCTAAAACAACATAACACGTAAACAAGGTACAACCGCGTTATAGCATTCCTAACTCACTTCTCGAACTTGGCCCCTGGCCGACCACGTGGGTGGACTCGCCCTCCCCAGAACCAGTCGTGGCTGAAACCCAGAACTCGTAAAGCTGGCTCTCCATCAGGTTGCGCACTTGGAACATCAGCTCCATCTCGGGGTTCTTGTCGGCGGACACTGTGAAACTCGAGTGTTTGCCCAGGCTGGAAGGAAAACTGTACTTGTAAATGAAACTAAGGTAAAAGAGTAAAGTAACAGCCAATAAATGTCCCACTGCTGTACTGTGCATGCTTAGGCCTCCTCTGTACAGAGGGTATCAGGGTATAGACACGGCCCTACTGCGGATTGGCGGACGTCATCTATTTTTCACAATTGAAATGGTTTTTTTTGTTATTAATTCTAAAATATGCAAGTTTCTTAACGAATACGAAAGTAAAACCCTTCACCGCTGAGCACGTGATAAGTATTATGTGTGTATTAGTGTATTTACGCGATTACACATTATAAATGAAACTATTTTTACGGATTTATTGCGTTCATTTTTAATTTTAATTCCCAACGTTTCGAACCCTTTACAGCGAATATCATATGTCCGATCCGATGTCCGAATGTCATAGTAAAACCGGGCTACCGTAAGTTTTTTGAATTATCTAAAATCAAAAATTAATAATAAACGCTATAAATCCGTGAAACAAAATTCAAGGTTAAACTTGTGTGTGAATTTATTTAGATAAATGAACAAAAACTTTCGACGCTTCGATCGAACCCTGTTACTAATTTAAGTTAACTACTGGGCAACGCATCCAAACGTTTTACCGACTTAAGCTAAGCGGCCTCACGGTACGGTTATTGTTGAAAGCCTTACATTGTTTCTATTTCAATTAAATTTACGGAAACAGAAGGAAACTTCAGCACACTGCGACTAAACACAACAACGACAATAACAACGACAACAACACGACAACGACAACAAACAGAGCCCGACTTACCGCCCGGCTTCTCTGAAGTATACTGTGTAGTGCGATATGATGCCGTTGGGATGCAGAGGCGGCAGCCAGCTTACGAGCACGGAGTCGCTTGAATAAGCGAGTGCCTTTATCTTCTCGGGAGCTGATGGTACTGTAAAGTTTAAAAAAAACTTGTCATAAACACACGTTATGGAGATTTTTTGAGTAGCTTTAAGTATTTCTATGCTTCACGTATTAATACGTGAAGCAAAAACTTTGTACCCCTTTTTACGAAAATTGCGTGGACGGAGGAGTATGAAATTTCCCACACTTATAGTTTGTATAGACAAGGAGTGCAGAATACTAATATTTTTTTTAATTATGCATTTGAAAACACATTAAATCATTAAAAAATATTACACACATTTCAATGTATTTTACACACACACAGGCGTATATACTCTTTTGTTTAAAATTAAAGTCTGTCGTCAAACTGAGAATAGATTAACATTGTTCAAACTTGTAATTTAAATTGTGGTCGAATTTCGACCACTGGGCGACCACTAGTATATATAGATATGAAATGCGATGATACAGAAGCCAATATACTGCTACTAATAGTGGACTAATAGACATACCGTCCTCTTCGGTCATGCAGAAGACCGGTGGGCTCCTCTTGCCGTCGCCTGCGCCGGTGAAGGCGAGGACCTGTATAGAGTAGTTGGTGTACTTGTGCAGAGTGTGCAGATAGGTGTCCGTGGTGGTGACGCGCTTGACCTCTGCCACGTCCGCTGGAACGGCATAAAAGTATCGTCATTAGTAATTCTTTTAAGGGACAATCTATACGTTTTTAGAACAAAATCCCTGAGAACGTTTAAAATGTATCAATTGCTGAATTTGTTTTTTTAAAAACATTGCCCTTACTTTAGGATAACATTATCCTGTGTTGTAAGGACGTTTTACAAACATAAGTTTCACGCGGACAATTGCTTGAATTGCTGATTTAATAAATAATTGCTGAATTAAAAATAATTGTAAAAGAACGTTTGTGTGTCTAAGGCTAGAAAACTATTAGAATTACGATTATGAACGAAGTTCTTGTTTGTGTATTCACTTTTCTTGTTGGTGTACCAAGAGATGGCACTCGTCTATGTGACAACCTATACTAGATCAACTAATGCCAGTATTAAGCCAGTGATGGCTTAATACTGGCATTAGTTGGCAGTGATGGCTATTATTATTATTATTATATTATTATTGATGGCTTGTCTTTTTTTTACAAGGTCGTGGGTTCGAATCTTCGAAATTTGAAGATGGAAAATTTTCTGTTCAGTACTAAAATATGATGTAAGGTGGTAGATGTACTAGCTAAGTAAGCCACGAAGCTCGATCCCGAGCCACGAGCCGGGTTAAGCCATACGAGTTCTTTCGTTACCGTGATTAATAGTAAGCGGTGCGTAGATGACTTTGTAGCCCTGGATGATGCCACCGCGCTGGTCGGCAGGTGGCGGGCCCCAAGCCACCTTCACGCTGGACGAGGACAGCGCAGAGCATGTCACCCTCGTAGGGTGAGACTCCGGTACTAAAAGAACAGGGTAACGTTACGATAATCTTAATTAGTTGAGTATGAGGAACATTAGCAGTGCCAAGTAATTATCTTCACTGTTGCACGAATGGACAGGTCCGTCTGGGTAAACATCACGACTTCACAGAAGACTGTCGTGAAGTGGAAGTGTTATACTTCTACTTCATGCCGGTCTTCTGTGAGGTCTTGGACTAACGAGGACGGACCTGCGCGTCCGCATTAGTACCACGTTAATTATTAAGTAGTCGTGCATATCTGTCTTTATTTACATGTTGCAACTACCGTTTACGTGGAATCATATTAAACCTATTTCATAAGACTATACTCATATTTAATTACAAAACAACATGTTACCGTTGATGATACTTACGATAAAAAATAAGATACTCATTTTATTTGTTTATTCAATGGTGTTGAAATTAATAACTCTATTAACATTGATAACGGAGTGGTATGCTGAAGGTGCAAGGAGGCATACCTCCCTCCAGGGTGGTGGCGGTGACCGCGGCGGAGGGGGGCCCAGCCGCCACTCCGTTGAAGGCCCTCACTCGGACCTCGTAGCGGGTGAACTTCTTCAGGGCTGACAAGCTGAGCTCCGTCGCCGACCACCCGTTAACGGTGAGCGTCCTGCTGATAACAGACCTTTGATTTGAGAAGTTAATTTAAGGGTGAAAATCAACTGGATTATATTAGGATATTATATATTATGTACTTTTGCGTTAAGTTTCGTGAGGTACTTCACTCAATGCTCATGTGTTTCAATGATTGAAATCGGATCTGAAAACCGTCAGGTGCAGATCTCTATGGACGGTAATCACTTAACATTAGATGGACCGTCTGCTCGCTTGCAAAGTTTTCACATAAAACGTACCTACATTTATTCCAATGTAGCAAGGAAGAATAAAATTTGAAAATAAGCATTAAAAAAGATTATATTTTAAACTAAAATAATTCTACACAATACATCGAAATTCTATCTCCAGTAACCAAATATATATATATATAAAATTGAAACTGGTCGTTAATGACTTAGCTGAGAATATACTGACCTTGAGGCGTTCGTCGTGGGCGAGAGTGCGTCTATTGCCCTTAAATTCTATCTCCAATAACCGAATGTACAGATAGATATAATATTGGAACCGGACGTTAGTGACTTAGCTGAGAATGTGCCGACCTTGAGGCGTTCTTCGCGGGCGCGAGTGCGTCTACTGCGACCGAACCAGCGACCCCGAGCTCCGTGCAGGTGACCGAGTAGCCGAGCAGCTCGCCGTGCCAAGCGTCCCTCGGCGGGGGGCGCCAGGACACGTGCAGCTCCCCTGGACCTCCGGGGGTCACGTGAACATTGCTGGGCGCTTCGGAAGGCGCTGCAGAAGAGAACATAAGAGAATGTACGGAAGGCCCTATAGAAGGGAACATGAGAGAATGTAACGGCAGAATGGGAGAGAGTGATCAGTGATCGGTGAATTCATTTGTTCAACAGATTTAATTTACAACAGTAGTATAGGATCAGTTCTACATGAAAATATACGGAAGGCGCCATAGAAGAGAACATAAGAGAATGTACGGAAGGTGTTATAGAAGGGAACATGAGAGAATGTAACGGTAGAAAAGGAGAGAGTGATCAACGACAGAGAGAGTGATGAATTGATTTGTTCAACAGATTTAATTTACAAGAGTTATATAGGAACTGTTCTAAAGTCCTGTAAAATATATGCATGCACAAACACCTTTCGTTTATACTAGTTTTATTTATCAATTCAAAAAAATCAAATCAAATCAAATGATTACGCAACAAATATTTGTGGATTACATTAAGCACTTGTTTCGTTCAGAAATAAACTCATAGACATATCAATTTACACCTACAGAGTATATGTAACTGCTTGTGTTGAGCTAGTTTTATGTTAAACAATCGATGATCTTACAAAAAAATTATGAATTGTAGAAATTCCATCTGAATCCATTACATATTAATAGCTAATAGGGAGCGTACATTGAAATATTCCTGTCTCTCATCTTAGTGTTTTAGTGCCACAAACCGCTATGGACAGCTATGCTCGGACTTTCTTTGCGTGATAAAGTCAGCTCTCCAGATTTGCAAGTTGAAGTGCTGTGCCATGGGCAGGCCACATCGCTCGTAAAACTGATTACTGAATCTGAATTGACCTGGACGGTGGTGGACTGGTGGACGGTGGTGGAATGTGAGTGTTTTAAATAATTATAATTTGTATTTGTTCACAGAAGAAACATGTATTCATGTATGTTTATCAAACAATGTTTAATACCGAACCGATGTTTGGTACGAATTTGAATTGGTGTGCACACGAGTAGGGTTACTAATGAAACCACTACAGATTTAACAGCGATCTACCTATCTATTTTACTGGGATGACAAAATTAGATAACGGAAAGTTACAAGCAAAAGCTTTGCCTTAGGTTTGTATGTAAGGCATAGTTTCTACAAACCATAGTGTTTTAATTCGATCATAGCGACCTTTAGTTACTAAAATATGAACTTTGATACATAAAGACTTTGAATTAGAGTGAATTGTGAACAAACAACTTATACACATGTATATGAAACACATTGATTTCTATTTTTACGCGACTTTTATACACTGTTGACGACGGTGGATGTTGAAAAATACGTCACAGGCGAATGTCCATCACACCTACGCGACTACGTTTTATACGCCATCTTAGCTTTCGGCAATTCTCAGCTGGCTACCACCGTTGTAACACCTACCTTTAAGGCCTATTTACACGATGCCATTTTCTTGTACATACAAGAGCAATAATTGAATGCAATAAATTGCGCGCAATAATTGACCATCAAGAATTGTAAGCAACAGTTTACACGCAGATATAGTAAAAAAATTGAATGCGATTATTGTATGCAAGTCTTGACAAGAAATAATTGCAAATGTCTTTTGTTTACACCAATGCAATAATGTTTAGACGATTATTGCTTTCAAGTTTTGACTTGTCTAAACACATGCTTGTATGTGCGTGTACAATTTATTGGCGTGTTGCTTCAAGTATTGCACGTATTTGCGTTGACAAATATTTCATTCAAGTGTTGAGCGTTTTGAAAAGCGCTGTTTATTTTTAAAAAATGGGTCAATGATATAAATAAAAAAAAAAAATATAGTACCTTCCTCTTGGGTCTTAACTACCACCGGCTCAGTGTAGGCGCTGCGATCTATCTCGTTGATCGCCGCGATGCGTATCATGTAGGCCGTGTGCGGTTTGAGATTCGTCACCAAGGCTTCGTAATGTATGTCCCCCTTTTTAGTTAGACTGTAAAAAACACATAATAAAAGCCTATTTGATTACGAGGTTTCGACATTAACCCCCGGTTTCTGAAACACCGATCATCGTAGAAGTTAACTAAATAGCTGTCAAATAAGTTTTCAATAAAAAATGTTATTTGAGTTTACAAGAGTTTTGATCAGAAATACATCTTATCTGAAAATTTCAACCGTCTACTACAACGGTGTATTAAATGCAGCCTGGCGCTGTCACCAGCTCCGCTGTCGGAGATTTAGTAATAGGGGCCCGTTTCACCCTTCAGGTACAGCCCTAAAAATTAGAAGGAAGTGGAAGGTGCTAACGTGACGTGCGAGTGCGGCGCGTGGGCGGCGTGGACGGACACGTTGAGCGCGGTGGCGGAGTCCCAGTGGGAGGCGCGGACGGAGAGGGCGCAGTGCTGAACGGTGTATGCCTGCAGCGGCGAGTTGCCGTCGAAGCCCTGGCTCCACGACAGGCGCACCGCGCGGCTCATGATCTCCGTAACAGACAGCGACTGCGGCGTCTCCGGTTTCTCTGTGGCGAGTGCACAATCCTTTAACGCGCTCCACATATTTAAACTTAACCAGACAGTTTTCATTTAGATTGTGTGTCGTATACCTAACCCACAAGCAGTGCCTATTTAAAATTCAATTCAAAACCGTACAGCTGTTCCTACGTCACGTGGAAACTCTAGGGTTGGGAATACAGTATAATAACTCCTTGATTTAAATTACAAACTATGAAATATATACAACATGGCCCAAGGGTAATCGTATGTTTTTTAATGGTGTGTAGATGTGAGGTGTGTGTTTAAAGGGGAATTGAATGAATGCGGTTGACTGTGTTGTAAGAATTAGGAGTTCTCAGTTCGAGTTCGACCTATATGTCAAATGTATCTCAAGTTTATTATAATCATTATATGAAAGTGAATGTTAGAAGAAATTTGTTTGATATAAACGACAATACGTGCAGTTCTAAAATATAACAGTTTAGTATGCAATGAATCACTACTGAATACAAAAGCTACATTTGACAATCAACTGTAGTTAGCAGTAACAGTAACAATTCTTACCTTGGACGGAAAGATATATGTAATGGTCACTATGACCGAACGCGTTGACGGCTTGGCACTTGTACACACCGGAGTCTTGCCTGTCAGCTCGGCTGATGTACAATTGGGACCTTAAACCACTATCAGTCTTTGCTTCGGATATACTAAGTCTGAAATAGAGGACAATGTTAGGATTAAAATCTTATTTCTCTGTATATGTCCCCTCTCTGTCCCCTTTGCACCATGCTTTTATATCAGAAGAAGTGAGATATGATGTGAATAATGTTTTGCTGTATCATTGATCTATATAATATCTCGCTTGTATACCTTGTCCGTATATTTTCTATATGAGTTAAGTAATCGTATCTTTACTCACGCGACTTCTACCTTCAGCTGAGCACAAGCTTAGGGATGTTCAACGTCACGTTAAAGTGTCAAACATGTTTGCGTTCGTCAATTGAGGTGAATTCAACTACGAAACCTGAGTATGTACGCATCTAAATACGTGATGCATGTTGCATGTGTGTGTGTGTGTGGGGGCCGAGGGGAAATCGATAACTTGTTTACAAACTATTCTTAACGAATAAATACCTATACGTTGAGAGATCCAGTGGGTGTGGGCCTCGCGACCACGTCAGCCGCAGTGGTGGGTCCCCGCGCGCTTCGCAGCTGAGGGTCGCCGGTGCATCCCGGCGAGCAGACACGTTGTGGGACGTCAGTTCGAACCTCGCCGGTTCTGGGCATTCAGAGAGAGAAGTCATGACGACACAAGAATGACTATAAAATTTGTCATGTTAAATTTGCGATGGTCATAAGTACCCTGTACGTATGGAGATTGTGCAGAACGTATTAAAATTTCGCTAATCAGTATACATTAACAGCACTTTTATGTCATAATTATTCTACTGGCGAGCCACCATAATCTTAATATGGACAAGACAAATCTTTGACGTAAATAAAACGTATGAATTTTCAGATTCCTAATTGATCCACATCTTTCTCCAGCTTCTTTCCTACCATTGTGTGACCATTAACAATGTTAATTAACAGTGTTAATTTTATCGGCAAGGGTTTAACAACCGGCCGCCTTCCTAACTGAACCCAGATCTGTGGGTCAAACAAATACTTGTCCCGTGTGGGTGTTAAACCCACAACCGAACCCAATTGCTGAGCACTTGCGCCACCAATTCGTCTAGTTGATAATATATACCTTTGTTAAAAATAAATTTTCAACATGAAGTCAAGGAAGAATAAAAAAAAAAATCTCTTTAGAATTTAATCTTTATTTCTCTTTCTGAATCGACTCATTGTTCAATTTAAGCCCTCGTTTTTACTTATTCCTATTTGGGTTAGGTCTTCTCAGAGTGGCTGTAAAACGCCCGCATGCGAAGCGTCCCTACATAACGCGAACATAACAAGTTACTCCCAAAGTGGCGCCACTAGCTGACCTCCAACTCACACAATTTCCTAGCGGGAACGGAATAACATCAGCGTTTTACGCAAGTTTTTACGCGACACTCGAGTTTTTGTCTCGGTTTACGCTCAGTGCGCGCCATTCGGCAAATTGGAGCGGAAAGTTTTATTGGCTCCTCATTCTGGAACCAGAAATTTACTTACGCGCGCTGTAATATGATGATTGCTTTGACAGCTTAATCTTTCTTTGTTTTCATCGCTTGTTTCGCTTACTGCTCGAGTGGTTTACAGCATTTTGAACCGTTAGATACCCTACGTGTTGCAAATGTCCATGGGCAGGCGGTTATCACTTAACATCAGATGAGCCGCCAGCTCGTTTGCCACTTACTCACATAAAAAAAATGCTTCCTTCAATACTCACCATTGATGGCTACGAAGATTGTCTTGGTGAGGGGCGAACCCACGCCATTCTCGGCTTTGCACATGTAGTGGCCCTCATCGTAGGGCAGCGCCGACTCCACCCACAGGGTCCCGTTCATCAGGAACTGGAATCGCCCCCCCAGGTTCACCAGCGGTATGAAGTCTGACGGCGATCCGGCTGCGGAGGCGAACAGAACCTTACTGGTCGACGAATAAAGCAGTTTATTCCTTGCCAAATTGCTTAGTGCCCAATAAGAACAGCTTCGCCTAATTACAACGGCGAGGTTTTTAGTTGTAATAAAGTTTATAGTATCAACGTTGTCAAGTTACGTACGTGTACGATATTACAAGCTGGTAGTAGTATCGTTTCCTGAAAATGTATTTCACAATTACTACATTTTCCCTGCTTTTGTTTTTGGAATATAACAGTGTTTTTCGGAATTTAGAATCTATTGTTATTACAACTCCGTGTAGCGTAATAAATAAGAACCACTCTATAATTAAACGTCTAATGATGGCAGTAATTTCGAGGAAACGGATACGCACACAAAATTTGTTTCGCTTGTAATATCAATATCAAATTTTGTAATAGTTTGGAATGAACAAAAATTTACTGTCTGCTTCAGTGGGTTTAACTATTGACATTGTATATGTATACATAGACACGTTATTTGTCCTCATACGATGACCACTCACCCGCAATAGTATACACTAGGTGAAGAAATATAGAATTAAAGACATATTAACATTGCCTTTGCTCATATCTAAAATGATGCCCTTATCCATCTATTTGTAATAAGAGATATACAAAAAGACTGATAAGTGCATAAATTCTAAGTGCTAAGTGAATGTTGGATAATTATATCTCACCTTAACCACCACCTTGACACCTCAAAAAAATTATTAAAATTTGTATAATAAACTAAAAATAATTTAGTTGATAGACGTGTTAATCACCTCTCTGTTTCAGCCATGTTATCTGTGGTGTTGGGGAGCCGGTTGTCTGACAGTGCATTGCGACGGGTTCCCCGGCCAGCACCGCCTCGTCTTTGGGTTCCATCACCCATTTGGGTGATACTGCAGCATGCAATCGGTTTATCTAGTTACTTATTTGTAACATAGATGTCATTGATTAAATAATAAAGATCAAACGTTAACACATTTGAAACAGTCACACAACTTATAAAAATTTAAATATATTTATTAGAAGCGCTTAAGATAAACCTTACCTTCATCAGCAGCATAAATTACGTATGAAGTGATATTAAGGTGTATACAGCGTTAAAGATATATGAAGATTAATAATTTGCAATTAAAAAAGTTAAAAACATTTTATAAATAGAAAGCACAGAGTATATAACATATAATTTATTTTCCATCTACCGCCACGTAGATACTCCGGAACTTCGAAGAGGAAAATTCCTAGAACAATTTGTTCATTGTTGTTTCTTAAAAGAACTCCTTCCCTTTCTGAGACGGGGTTATAACTTAGCGAATTACCGTTAAAAATAAATTGAATTACCCTTTCCTGTTAGCCATCTGTAAATCCAACGATGTGCAAAACAAAAACGATACAAGATTTATAACTGAATTCGACATTGAGAAGCGAATAGTTTTACATAAAGTGATGATTGGAATGCATTTAACCGTTAATAAGGGCGAATCCTAAAGCCATTTGCCTCAACGTTACATATCTAGGAAATAAAACTTGTAATGAGTATAATAAGTAGAAGTGAAGTCAAAAGTGATTTAGTGTTCTATATTTCATCAATATATTATTTCATTATTGTGAGGTTACACACATGCTATTGATTCGATTATTTAATTTTGTAACACGAAAAAAAATTAATTTCACACTTTCTTCATAACTAAATTGATCACAAAAGTTGAAATCATCCAATTAAGTTCAAACTCACACAAAAACAAAGTGCAAATTTCATACAACGGTCGATAAGGACCACAGATAATCCGCGTTGTACACAATGGTGAAATTCGGTGCTGAGTGCAAGCGTGACTTGGCGCTAGGTGCTGTGGTGCTTTGGTGCTTTAGTATCGCGGCGCGGTTACCTTTCACCACCAGCTCGGCCGTATAGTTAACCTTTGCCGCCGTATTGGAGGCCACGCATGTGTAAAGGCCGCTGTGGCGGGCTGACACCTCTTTGAACACAAGGTTGCTGAAAAAATCCGCCCCCCGCTCTTCCACCTACACAACCAATTGCTTTGAACTCACAAACGTCCCGTTTTAATGCCCGAACAAAGTGTCAGCGCAATTGTACGTGATAGTTTTCAGGCAATTAATCCAACTCTATCAGTGCTGTGTTAGTTAAGTTTGTCGTATAAGTAACAGATGTACTCTTGATGAGAGTAATATTTTTGTTGGACTGGTCTTGTAAATTATATAACAGCTGTTAGTGACAAACCTGTAAGTTGGAAGGGATCGGCGTGTTGTCTTTTAGCCAGGTGAAGTGTACTGGCATGTCGCCTGACGTCACACTGCAGCTGACTTGGGCACGCTTGCCCTCTTGCAGGTTAGCGGAAAAGGAGAACGGTTCAATTTCCGGTGGATCTGGAACATAATATGCTTCACTTAATCGGATGTATTTTAAATTATTAATTTATTTTTTGGTTATTCACGGCAGATAATATATTACTCATTTTCTTTTACACACAAATTTGATGTTGCATTTTTGTCTCACTGGCCAGTGCGTTATATAACTTTATAACAGTCCTTCAGGCATTTACGACACCGTTATTTGAATTATTTTTAGCCCTTCATGGATTCCTAAGCTAGTGTTTCGGCTTGGATAAACAATAATACTTCTGCCCCTATAATTCAACTTCTGATAGTCTCTGCATATGACAAGAGTCCACCAATTGGTGTATAAATCTATGTAAATCTGCTCAAGATTGGATATAAAAAGATAATGCCCTCATGATCCTTAGTAGAGGTAAATATTATGATACTTTTGAATTTCTGTTCTTTTTTATTTTTTATTATTATTATAAAAAAATATTTATTATTAAAATCTTCATCAATTGAACATTGCGCTAAAACTTTTTGTGTTAAAATCGTAAAAACGCCCCAAAGTATGCGTACCTTCAAATAATACCGCATAAGCGACACGATACACAAGTGCTTAGTATAATCTATGCATTCTAATTAACCCTATAGGTAAATGAACAAGTCAGTTCATCTCCTTCCATCTTAGACTATTGACTCTTCCCGCCTTCCGCTACTTACTGCTGACGACGAGCTGCAGTTCCCTCCTAGCAATCTCGCCGTGGGGTCCGGTCACGGCGCACGTGTATGCCCCGGCGTGGGACGACTCGACCCTTGCCAACCTGAGGGCCCCTTCGACATTCCCGTCCCACTCTACTTGGTTGCCGTCCCTTTCCCACTTAACGGAGCTGCGAGGCGATTTATTAGTGTTACAATAATGATAAATCACGCAGTTCGCTGTCGCGTAACAGGGTTATCATTAGGATCAAATAAATTTAGGGAGACAATACATTGAGTTTGAAGTGTATGATGGTGGTTTAATACTAAAATATCGGTTCTGTCACCACACATGCCACACTTTGTTGCAGCTAATTTGTTATATATAACGAAATCACAGGGACCACTAAAGTTGACTGAAAGGTATCGTCTTCGGCGCCGTGAGTCCTGCGTTCGATTTCTACACGGCACAAATATTTTTATAGTTCACAGATTTTTGATATTATAATTCAGAGATAGTTGTTTTGAATCTAAGTGTGTATCCGCGTGAAACTTACGTATGTAACGTCCATACAACAGAGGAAAAACTATCCAACAGTAAGGGCACTGTTTTTGCCCTTGCACTGTGTTTTAAAAAAATCAATTTATAAAAAAATATTGTTGTAGACCACGCAATGGCACGGGCAGGTTCGTCCGGGTAAGTACCTCACATAATACCGGTGTAGAGTAATGGGTTACACTTTTGCGTTTCGTCTGGCGAGTGAGGTAGCCGGGGCCCACTTTATTTAAGGATGGCAACTCATTTGCAACCCTACGGGTGTTGCAAATGTCCATGGGCGGCGTTTATTACTTAACTTCAGGTGAATCGCCAGCTCGTTTACCATATTTCACATAAAAATGAATGTACTTTGATAAACTTATTCGTGTATCCTCATCGATTTGACGTCCAAGCCGGGTCGCCTACTGCACATTATGGTTATTCGATCATGTTACATTATTCCCCGTAATCTCGCTAATATGTGTCATGATTGCGGCTACCATTATATGGGTGGTTCCCGAAGTTACCTTATTGGATATCCCGAGTAGGGGCAATACAATACGAGCTCCCGTCCGGCGACGGCCCTAATGGGCCCAATCGATCTGACGTAAGGCGGGCCTGTAATAATGTAGCTCATTGTAGACTCGCGCTAACTCAACCGTTATTCACCAACGTCGAATTGTGACATTATATTAATTACACTAATATTAACTACACCATTCGTCGCAATGACAACTGTATTATATATGATTTGATTATTGATTATATATTATATAATGACAACTTTTTAGCTATTTTGCCTACGGCGTAAATAAATGGCAGAATAAAAATATAAGAGGAAGTAGTGATCTTAACAAATTATGGTTAACTTGTACAAGATATATATATATATATACCATATGGTTATATATATATATATATATATATAGATATATATATATATATATATATATATATATACATAAAGAGTAAAGTAACAGCCTATACATGTCCCACTGCTGGGCAAAGGCCTCCTCTATACAGAGGGTATCAGGGCATAGTCCACCACGCGGCCCCACTGCGAATTGGCGGACTTCACATATTTTCGAAATATATATTTGTTTTTTGTTATTATTTCGAAAATATGCAGGTTTCCTCACGATGTTTTCCTTCACCGCGGAGCACGTGATAAGTCAGCACTTAAAGTTAAAAAACTTCATTGGTGCCGGCACCGGGGATCGAACTCAGGTTGCTCGAGTATATTGAATTAAAGGCGAGCGCCCGGACACTGAGCTATCACGGCTATATATATATATAACCACATGGATCAAATGAAAAAGGTATCAGAGAATGTTTTTTAGCTTAGTATTATATATATATATGTGTAATATTCTACCACGTAGCTTTGGCTATTGCACAAATGGGCAGCCTCGTCCAGGGAAGTACCATGGCCTCGCTCAGCGTTAAGTGAAAGCATTACTTTCGCGTTTCGTCTGGTGAGTGAGGTAATCGGGGCCCACTTTTTTAAACGTTGGCAACGCAACGGAGAACATTTAGGTGTTGAATATGTACATGGGCGGTTACCACTTAACATCAGGTGAATCACACGCTCGCTTACCAGCTTTTCACATAAAGAATATTATAATACTAGCTTTTTGCCCGCGGCGTCGCTCGCGTTGAAACCCTTAAATAAATGTCTTTCTTTAAAATATATATACATATTTTAAAGCTTTTTTCCAAGTAAAATTTAGCCTATGTCCTTTCTCAGGCTCTAAACTATCTGTGTACAAAAATTCAATTAAATCGGTTCAGTATTTTTGGCGTGAAAGCGAGACAGACAGATAGAGTTACTTTCGCATTTATAATATTATAGTATGGAAGTATGGATTTCCTTTGTTTATAATTTACAAGCAAATGAAGACAATGTCTTAAATGGAACACATTTATATTAATCTTAAGTTAGAGTTAGCAAAAACTGAATCAAAACTAATCCGCATAATCTTACCGTAAATGTTAAGCCTGGAGGTGTGCGATACTTCCCCTAGGGAGTTGGCAGCTTTGCAAGTGTACAGCCCCCCATCTTCAGATCGCACCGAGGAAATGTTTAGGTAGCTTACGACGTCATTATTCTTTGTTGCGAATTGCTCGACGCTGTATCTTAAACAAGACAAATATAAAAAATAGAAATAAAACGAGGGCGCAATTAATATATTCGTTTAAGGATTTCTTACCATTAACGATAGTAAAAGATATATAAATAAAATTGTCTTAAGAATATTGTCTGCAATGCACTGAAGGCGGAGATTTCGTGTCTGTGATTTAAATGTGAAGTACACGATTAAAGGATTAACTTTAAATCGTAATCGTAACTCATTTATCATTTCCAAGTTAACTTTGAATTCTTTCAATCAAGAATGTGTTGCAACGTTGAAGTTGAGGCTTATTTTGGGGAAGTTTATATCTAACAGTGTCAACATCTGTCGTGTAAGGGCAGTGGTTACTTGTGATTATTCTACCTGTGTCCCCTGCTCATCGTGTTCAGTGGCTGGCCGTCGAGCATCCAGGTGAAGTGTGGCGGTGGGGAGCCGGCGGCCGAACACTTCAAGGTCACCACCTGCCCTGGACGCAGCACTTGCTCGATGAAAGTGTACTGCAATTCCGGTGCGGTGTCTGCATACAATAGAATGCGAGTTGGTGCAATTATATTGGGTACAATCCAAGTCTCTTTGGATCCATAAGAGTGGAGACGGAACTGGGTTATACTATCCAAGTTTCATTTTTCTTTTTTAATCAAAATGTGGCCAGTACAAAAAAATTACAAGTCTATTTGATTTACGGCCGGTTTTTATTCTATATACCGATAGATTTAACTAAATCGCTAGTATCCCTAGCGATATGTATTCGACATTAGCTCCATAACACTTAAGGTAAAATTCTATCTCCAGTAACCAAATCTATGTGTAGATTGAATATTGAAACCGGCCGTTAGTCAAACGGGCACAGAGATGGATTATATATCCAGTATCCACGCTTCATCTTCATCCTCCTGCCCCTATTTTAAAACATGTTTTAAGTAGTTTTTTACACTGGCCGCCTTCCTGCAGTCAAATAACATTTTAAACAATATTGTCCACGCTTCATTTTTCTTATTTAAACCCAGTAAAAGTGCGGCAATATAAAATAATACAAACCAACCTTAAGATCTATTCGATGTCCTAACTCATCGCGTTAAGAGGTGTAAATTATGGATTTCTTGGTGTTTTAGAAATCTTTATTATTTCTTCTACGTTCATAGACCTCCTATAGGTGTTAATTAGTACGTATTATTTTTCTTATCGCCTACCTAAGTGATTAAATGATCTCTCTCTCTCTATCGTGTATCAATATAAAAAACACTAATAACATGAGCGCAGAAAGATTGCATTTGTATATAAATTGCAGAAGATAGAATTTTCGAAGAAATTATTTACACAATGAGAAAACGAATAGTACAGACGGTACATCTCGAAAACCTTAATAAGGTTAATCTTACCTCCTAAACGAAGCTCAGCGCTGGCCTGGGCTGAGTCACGCTCGTTTCTCGCCACGCATTGGTACACTCCCTTGTCAGCGCGGTGGACAGATGGTATCACCAGCCTCTCGCCGTTGCCTAGCAACCGCAGCCTGCCTCCGGCGACACCCGCGCTGATGGGGACGCCATTGTGCAGCCACTCCAGCCGCGGCGCCGGCCAGCCCCCCCAAGTGCAGTTTATCGTCGCTGTACCGCCGCTGTTCACCACCTGCACATACACAACATCTCCTGATGAATGACTTCGCTGGCTCATCTAAGATGACAAGAAAAGAAGGTTGGCAATACATCAACAAGCTGACATATGTTGTGGACATTCATGGCTAGTTGACAAAATTGGACAAGCTGTCTATTTGCCTTTTTCTCAAATAATTATACATAAGATTTTTTTAATGTGAGAAGGAGGCAAGCAAGCTGGCAGTTCACCTGATGTTTAGTGATAGCTTATGGATATTTGCAACACCAGTAGGCTTGCACATGCGTTGCCACCTTTTATTAAAGTGGGCTCCGGTTACCCCACTCGTCAGTTTTAATAAAAAACAAACCGACTTCAAATAACTCACTCGCTATTCTTTGTTTTATTTTTTTAAACATTGCCCTTACTTTAGGATAACATTATCCTGTGTTGTAAGGACGTTTTATAAACACAAATTTCACGTGGACAAACACCCAGATGCGCGAAACAACTATCTGTGGCTCACACAAACAGTTGTCCTATATATTTTGCATTTATTTTGAAGAGGTCCAATAGCATTGACTAAAGGGACATGAGACGAATGGGCAATCCCGTCCGGGTCTTTCGCGTTTAGTCTGGTAAGTGAGTTCCCGCATCTGTAACCTCGCCCATGGGCGGCGGTATTCACTTAACATCAACATGAACCGTCTGCTCGTTAGGCAACTTTTTACATAAAAAAAAGCAAAAAACGAGAACTAAAAGGCAACGTGATTTTTGAAGGTGAAGTAGATTGAAAATTAAAACGGACACACAATCTCAGAATATGTTCAGTGATTATGTGGTAGTCTGAATTATTACTGTTGTCACGGTTATGATTCCTTTATCACCAATAAAAATCAGACTATGTCTATGTGCAAAAACTACGACGTTACAAATACTATTGAGGAGGTGCCTGTTTCTTTAAAATTTTAAAGATAAACAAAAAGTATTAATAACATACAAACGTTCCAAGACACCTCCGAGGGCTTCAAGTTAGCCTTTATTGATGGCGACAGGAGCTAAGATTCCGACCTCGTTCAAAAGTAAACTGCGCGGGGAAAGAACCGCCCCTCGGGAAACCGCAAATACTGCCCTTTAAACTATGCCAATTTAGAAAAGACCTTAAGGGGAAGTAAATAGTAAAATACGTACTTATTTTATCATGACAAATTAATCACACATCAAATATTTATTATCAATCAAAATAATGAATTTTGATTGATAATAAATATTTGATGTAACTACTACTCGTCATTCTAATGTATCCGCAATGCTTGTAATTATTCGACTTTAAAATTAAGTTAGCGTCTTTATATATACTTTCCTATTGTCGTCTTCATTTGCAGATAAAATACTTGAATAATATAAAAAAGCCACCATATAATGCTTGCATTTGAAACGAAACAAGTTACATCTTTAGATCTCCGTGCTACAACGTCGAGCCAGCTTCGTTGTTCCCGAGAAGAGCTTTCACGAGAAAGAAATTAGATTAAAAAGGAAATAAAAGGGATAAAAGAAAACTACGGAGAGCGGGGAGCATCTAAGTCGGAATATAATAGCTTTGAGCACTTATTTGTCTCGGGGCGTACACGTTCATGCCGCTGCCACGAAAACAATGGGCCAGTGCAAACAAGCCCTAAGCAAACACTGTCTTGCGGCAGACTGGGCCGCGCGCTCCGCAGAAACAACGAGACCTCTTTGGCGGAGAATATGCCCGAGACGGCCTTCGTAATTCGCCAACAAAGGGATGTCGTGACGGAGCGTCCTTTGTGCCGTGCAAAATGAAAACTGCGAAAGCACCGAAGTTAATTTGAATGTGATTACGCGGTGCGGTTGCGTTGTTTTTGGCGATGTTGTAACCCTATATATTTAGTGGAACCTATTGTTTGAGTGTTCCTCTGTATCGTGGAATAATTTCACTATGAGGAGGTAGCAAAGGAATAAGCGATTCACCTAATGGTATCTAGTTTACGTCAAACACTGAAATGGTTGCTGGTCCTTTGTCGACGTTTGGAAGGGGGGACAAATGTCCCACTCCTTCGAAGGAACTTAAGGTTACAAAAGAAAGAAAATTATAATATTACTTCGTATACCTTAGTGGTACTTCCTTGAATTATTCATATAAAATTAATGGTAAATGCTTATTGCGAAAGGCCATGTATTACTTTTGGCTACAGCTATCAGAGCCGGTTGGTGCTATAAATTTCAAGCAACTGTCTGTTGTCTAACTATAATTCATGTATTTTGCCGAACAATCATTTTAAGTTTGGCTGCATTAAAAACTTATTTCACTTGATGTTGCAAGAAATGATTACCATTTTGTTGTTACAGTTATTTCAAGCTAAAGATATATACGTGTTCAAAAAGGGTTTCATAAATACATACATTAAAACACGTCTGTCGCAAAGTGTTGAAGTTAGAGATTATCTTGATCATTATGTTGAAGCTCTATTTTTATTTCTTATTCCTCAAGTTCTTATCTATCAAGTCATTTACCGAATCTTTTACTTTGCTCTTCAACGTAAGTAATTAATGCTCGCGACAGTTTACCATGAAATATTGAAGCGTATGAAACAGAAAGCCCACACTGTACAACATAATTGAAATAATAGCGTATACAAATTCTGAGTGCATGTTCAGAGTGCAGTTGTATCATGGATCATATAATCGCCCGTCAGTAACATGAATCCGGTTCTCTAACGAGATGCATGAAATATTAGTCGATGTTATATTAAATTCAACTCAATTTCATGTATCATAAAACATTTTTCCTACATGACTTCGGTTCGTCGTTATGGAGACAATTTTATGATGAATAATAATAATAACTCGCCGATATAAATGTTCGTTTCTATTCTTCAATAAATCTATAGGGCTAGATAGAATGGACCGACCGAGCCGAGAAATGTATACACATTAAGAACCCAAAACATAATGCACAAGTAAGGCGCCTTGATTGTCGATCTTTGAGGCACCAGGATTAGTTACATCGGCAGCGGTGATTGAGAGAGAGTTCCAACTTCAGCATACTTATCAGAGTTTCAGGTAACAATTATTGTTAGTCTATGCACAGATATTAAACATCATACAGGGATTAATCACACCTTTATATTGAAAAGTTCGTGGCTATCAGTCACTGAGATTGGGTAAGTCTCCCCATTGGTCCACGCATTTTGTTCATTCCTTGAACGAAATTGGGAGGCATGAGTCATTTCTCGCACTTGGCTGTTCAAATCTCCAACAGATAAACGTTATAAATCAATAAAAAAAGTGATCTTTAACCACCTCTACAATTGAGGCAAATCTTACCCTATGCTATGCGACAAGGTTTAAGTTATATTTAAATAACAAAGGGATAGTGAAGGAGAAAAAAGACTAAATGTGTTTGCTCCAGGGGTGGACGAGGATTGGGCAGTTGAGGGATCATATTAAGTGATATCCAGCTTAAGATGTTACAGTCATTGTGAGCAAGAACTATATAAAGATCAGCGGATAAGTGAACGTCTCAGTATACTATACTAGTTATAGTTGGCAAATTAGTTTTGTAGGCAGTCTATCGACTTTCTGAAAATAACTAATAAGATAAAAAAAATATAATACCCTTTTGCGGTAACTAAAAAATTGTTTACTCTTTTAATATCAGTAACAAGCATACTAAAGACAATATTGTTTATCAGAATTGGTTTAACGACTTAGTACTTACAAGGGAACATACGAACAGACATAAATACATGTCAAACACAACACTCCGTTTCTGGTTTAACCTTAGTCGGGTAAAAAGTACAAGTTCCAGATACCGGTGAAGTGGTTGTTAGTCTGCTTAAGCCGGTGGCAGCTTCTGCTGTGTTAATTTCTATCCGCACGTGAAACTCAATCTTTTAGTATCTGAGACCAAGACACACTTGGGTCGTTTCATAATACTAGTTAATTATATGAAAGTGACTAGAAGAGTGTTGAATATGGATGTGGTTGGAGGGGGCTAAGCTAGAGGAAGACCGAGAAAGATTTGGATGGACTGTGTGAAATGATATGTCTGTGAAAGAGTTCAGTATGGAGATGACGGCTGATAGAGGAGAGTGAAAGGAAAGGACATGTTGTACCGACCCCACCTAGTGTGGGATAAAGGCAGGAGAAAGAAGAAGAAGTTAGTTATATACAAATTAACTTTATTTTGTTTATCCAGTAGTGGCCAGTTCAATAGCAAAACCCTACTTTATCCATACTCAATACATTCAAAACAAATCCCCTAAATGATACAAGTGGATAGAAATGTTCAATGTTGAACAATCAAAAGCTAGCTTAACATTCCGTAATGTCAATTTAAACCAAACTGTATCTCTTGTGCACTTTTCCGACACTCCAATTCGCTTGAAGTTGAAACAACTGCTTATTTTAGAAGCAAACGCACTTTTAGCATGTTCACGTTGTTTTGCCTCCACAACAAATGTTAGTTTTGAATAGGTTTGGCATAAGTCAGCTATTTTATTAGGGTTCCATACCCAAAGGGTAAAACGGTACCCTATTACTAAGACTCCATTGTATGTCTGTTTGTCCGTCTGTCACCAGACTGAAAATTGAAAATTTTCAATTTTCGTCTTATGAGATACAATTTAAATTGAAAACTTCAACTGCCTTTTTCAAAGCAATTTTCAGATGCAGATGCAGATGATGTATTTGTGTTGCTGCTATAACAACAAATACTAAAAACAGAATAAAAAAATATTTAACAACAACAGGGGCAACCATACAACAAACGTGATTTTTTAACCGTTTTTATAGGTAACTAGCTGTTATCCGCGGCTTCACCCGCGTGGCCAAAGGGAATTAACAATTCAGTTTTTCATTATACACCAGAATATCTGGCAGATGGCTGAATTTTTTCCTACTTAGTTAACACTCATCATTACCTACATTTTAGACAATTCACACAATATCTTTATAAATTATAGCCTATGTATTCTGATGTATAAGATATAGGTATTATTGTAAAGTTTCAT